TATATAAAAAAATCAAAGGAAAACACGGAAATATTCCCTTTTCGGCCCTGCCTTGCATTTGTTACACATTCAAGACTTCCATCAATTTTAAATGGGAGCTCTGGGCGTGTCAGCTCTGTAAGACTGGTTCTTCATAGGGAAATGTGATACAGAGAAAAGAACAGAAAAAGAGAATTCACCTTGGAAACTTTAACTGGGTTCATTGTACACTTTGCTACTGTGTTCAATATATTTCAAAGATATCCCATAATAGCTAGTGGTTCTTTACAAAGGTCACTGTAAAATGATATCCTGTATTACTACTACATGTTTCAGAAAGTGATCCTTGTCTGCCAGCTGTTCAACTGAACTTTATTAATGAAGGCGAAGTTTTCTAGTGTTGTCACTCTGACCCTTAAACTGTATTATCTAGAAAACCATAAACCTTATTTAAAAAGACATGAAAAGGTTTATAAAACATTCTCTTAGCAGATCCTGTTTCCAGCCTCACCTTTTCATCTGAACTTGGTTTTAAGCTTTTGCCACCATGCCTGCTGATTACAATGGGACGTGGGAAATGGAAACCAATGAAAACTTTGAAGGCTACATGGTTGCTTTAGGTAAATGAAAAAATATTAACTATACAGAGATAAAGAGAAAATATTTCGATTATAAGTAAAATCCTTCTAAAAATTAATGAGACTATTTCTGTAATGTGGATTGTGGGATAAGGGTTTCTGACAATCACATTAAAAATCAAATAATTGTAATGCAATTGCAATGACAATGCTAACGATAGAAGCAAGAGAAGAATGTAGCCAAAGATATTAGTCTTTATTTAGATAAATCAAAAAACAGATACAGATGGGGAAAAAACCCAAACCAGGCTTCCAGATACAGAAGCTCTTTTTTATTCCTGGTATATACTTACTGTAACAGTCAAGCCACATCCTGGTTGGCTCTGTTAAAGAGGAATAGGATATTCTAGATCACTAAAGCAACAATAGTGTTTAGTACTTAATTAGCGCTTTGAACTTGTAGAAATTATATGTATCAATTGCATGGTAAAGGCGGTAAAAACCTTTAAAAGCATTTAAAGATAAATGCACAGACATTTCTGACAGTTTTTGTGGGAGTCATCCTTACATAGCAAGGAGACTTAGGTCACAGGAATTCTTAAACATATGTTTACATGGTTAATTAAGCTTAATTTCACTTGGCTATGACCATCACTGATGACAACAATATATGTGTACATACAAAAAAATATGTTCTGCTCTTCAGGAAACTTTCATTTACTACTTTGTTAACCTCTTTATCATTAGAGGCCTGATAGCTATAGGCTGTGTATCCATTGTACAGGATATTGAGCATACTTTTTGTAGATGCTAGTAGAATACCAAATCACTGTTGACTGAATGCAAGCGATATCCTTGTTGAATACCAAGGTCAAGTTTATGGTGTTACTGGATTTATTTTTCCCCACACTGACAGACTTAGTTTTTGTAATGACTGAGATAATTTTATGAGAGAAATGTCTTCTTTTGCTGCACCGATCATTGTTTATATAAACTGCCTTTCAAGCATTTTTGTTCTCATAAAGACATAAACCTTTGGGCCCAGGTCATTATGATTATGCAAGTAGTGTGCAGGAAATCCTTCCTCTACCTAGGTTTAGCAGAGATGTAGATCTTTAATTTGCTGAAAAGAAATAATAGAAGACATCAACATTTCTCAAGAATTTCTTCAGTATGCTCTGGATTGGCATTAAAAGAACAGTTCTGACCTTTGGACCACTGCATTTCAAACACCACAAAAAGTGTGGGAGTTAGATTTATACATGCATGTGAACTGTAATCTTTAGTATCAGGAGTCTTCTCCCAGCTCTACTACATCACAGATGAAGGGCATAAAGGACTGTTGTTTCCTTGCCATACATGATGTCTATAAAACTGATAGAAGAAAAGCAGCCATTAGAGCTGGCTAATTTAACCTAGATTGGAGGAGTGTGCCTGGCTCTGAATCATAAATCAGCACGTGACAAAAATCAAACCTGTGTTTTATTTTTATGCTTACAATTGATAGCCCTCAGGGGCCCCACTGGGTCTATGCACTTCCTATTCCCCCATGGCTCATCTTCTGTCTAGTGGTCATTGATTTCTATCTTCTGTTCAGCATTTGCTCTTCTTATTTCTCTGCCTTTCCACAGTAGCTGACACCACTGTAAGGGTGATGCTGATATACAGGAGCTTTTTCAGGTCAAAGTACCTTGCACTTTTCATCAGAAGTTGAGACCAGGCCTGTGGCTTCGTGTGCTTTGTTCAAAAGGTGTTGAGTCACGTTAATGGAGACCTAAAGAACTTGTTTGCTCAGATTCCAAAATATCTACTAAAAACAATTCAGTGGTTCAATATCAATGAATATACTGTATAGCCACCTTCCACAAGCTAAGAAAATATATTTCTTAGGAAGAAGGGTCTAACACATGGAAGGTAATCAGGTAATTAAATCTAACAATTTTCACATAATTCTCAATGTCTACACTAGTGACTGATTTAGGGATAACTACCACAAAATCCTTAACTGAGATGAAAAATTTGGTGCTTTAACTGATTTTCTACTAGTTTTATTCTCATCAAAGAATCTTAACCTCAATTTATTTAAGTGTTTGGATTGGAAGAGAAGAAATACACATAAACACACAAAAATAAACTCTCATCTTTGTTCAAAATCAATTGAAAATAGTTATAATTTCCTCAAAGCTTCAACTCTTTTAAGAGAGAAAGGCAAGTTTCACTATTCATAGTTTTTAGCCTTTGCATTTATGGAGAAAAGCTCAATAACTTCAGGGAACTCTGTAAATACTATACACATATACCTGTGAGGTACAAAAAATTTCATTTTTTAGAAATAAGAATGGTTGAGCCAATGTAATGAATTTCAGGAGAAAGATACCTGCTAACTGAAGTAATTTGAGTGCTGAGGTTTGACACTTACGTATAGTGAATAATTACTACTTTATGTGCAACTGAAATGTGATTTCAGCATTAAATATGCCAGCTGCAAGTGAGCCATAGGGCCTGTTGGTATGGGTGATATTTAAGTCAACTCCTGGTTGTCACAAATTGACTATTCCAGGCTCTCTTTGTCTACCTCAGGCTTATCTCACCGCCTGCCCCAGCTTCTGGTCTCACCTACTGTTCTTGCCTGGAGCCCAGCTCTCTCTGCTTTGGCTCTGCTTCAGTCCTGTCTCAGGTCTTTGCTCCAAGCCCTGACCTGCTTTTGTGGGTGGTCACTAGCCACCAGTCATGATGGTCATGCTGCTCTAGCTCTGCCTTGCTTTGTGGTGATAGATCTCACTGTATTTGATAACTCTCTTTTGATAATTATAATGATAAAGATCTCTTTAGTATTTAGGTTTATTTCTTCCTTATTTTTTAGGATGCAGGTTAAATACCTGTGGTATGCACATTTCCTTTCCCAAAGGATTTGCAATTACGGTAATATCTTTTCATTTGGCTGTAGTGGCCATCTCATTATTGTTCCTTCCTTTCCTTCCCTTCCAGAGAAAGGATGAGATTCTTGCGTTATTTATTTCAGTAGAGCTATAACATTTCACTTGCGTTTGTCTTAAAATCCAGGGAATATGTCAGGGAAAAAAAAAAAAGGATAGCAGCTGCTAATAACATGCATTTCTCTGAATTTTAATTTACCCACTGTAGAATTTAAACCGTGATTTACAGTCAAATTCAATAAGAATTTAGTGTCTGTCATAACACAAGAATTAATTATATCAGCTTTAAACTAAACTTTAGTTATTATTTTCATCCTTATATTCTGATCCTTTTATAATAAGTAATCCATTTTCCAATTTGATAATTCTTTTTAAACCATAAATGCTACCATGAACCAGTCTACAGCAGTTCCTCATTGCAGCTCAGTGGCATCCTTAGAACCACTTAGTCAGCGGATAAATTATGACTTTGCTATTATTAAATTAAGTGGACTTTTGATCCCTTTCTGATCTAATATATCCAAGGGGAAACTGGGAGAAAAATTAGGGATTCAGCCTACAGTGGGGATCATGAGAGTAAAAGAGCTTGACCCACTCAGTAGCCTGAAACAAAGCAAGAGGAAGAATGTGTTGTAATAAGGAATGCAATATAGATGTATTTTTTTATACATTGCCTAACCTGGGTGGACTGTACTGGAGAGGTACTCAATGAGCTTTCTGATTAAAATTTCAAATTATTTTCTGAATAAGAATGCTAGCAACTGGTTGGGATGAAGGAGTTATTTGCATCAGTTGTCTGGATCTGGCTCTTCATAAGTACATCATGATTTTTTATGTATACATGCATATATATGTGATAAGTAAATTATACTAATTAAAAACTGCCAATGAATTAACAGAAAAAAAAAAAAACCAAAACACCAAAACCAATGCAAAGATGTATATGGCTATAGGTGATTCTCAGAATGGAAAGAAATTACATGGAAAGGGTTTAAACACGTTCTCCTGCTTTGTTCCTCGCAATTTTAGATGTGGGTGATATTTTAAGTATTAAAGTGCTCAGGTTCAAAGCACAATGAGGTTTTGGTTTTTTTAAATTCATCCATCCTTATAATTAATACATACACATTTCCATACTTTAATTAAAGAATAGGTTCACCCTTTAAGCCAAAAATGTTGATTTTATCATAAACATGTTACAAAGTATTTTAATCTATTATGATAGAACAATATATTATTTTTATTGCTTGTATTGTTCAAAATGCAGTTATGAAAACCATGCTTTAATAAAACCTCCCCTGATTTTTCTCCAGGAGCTACAAGACTAATACATTAGTCAGAAATAGCATTTATTTAGAAGTGTAGACATTTTTTTTCCTCAGAGAGAACTAAATTTTATGTTACCTGGCTATAAATCAGACCCAGAGATACCTTTAATCTACCACAACAGATAAAATATACCCAAGAAGTCTCGAATGTAAATACTGAACAGGAACATTATTCCCCATGTTAAAAAGTCACAATTTTTTCAAGCCAATCCTCTTACTCAATGCGATTAGTACTCCACAAGTAGTATAATGACTCTACCGAAAGAAAAAGGGCTCCTTTACTATACGGCATTGCTGAGCTGACAATGATTAAATCACGTGCAAAACCACTAAAGGATGGCTAACAAACCAAAACCATTTTTCAATCTCTTGCAGAAGCATGTGAGATTATTTCATTTGCATGTAGCACCATGATAAGATTCATTGCCAGCTGGTCAGAAATATTTATTGCAGATGGTAATGCAGCTGGCATTAGGTGGATTGTCTGGGGCAAACTGCCATGATGGTAATATATATTCTCCTTTCGGTAACTTTCAATGCATTCAGTTGCAAGCAGTCGTCCACATTATAATGTTAGTCTTCATCATGAACAAAACAAGGATGTTAAGGAGATCAGTACTGCATAAAATGCTAACAGAATTTTAAACAGGAACTGTCAAACGCTGTAGTTTGATACTTTGCTGACTTTTGACTTTGAATTTGTCTTCCTTTAACATCTAAACTACAATTTATTTCTATATCTGCTGTCTAACAATAACAGATAAAACAGGCTTTTTATGTGATTTTTTCTTTTTTTTATTAATTACAATAATTTTCATTATTTTTAAATTAATTAATTCTCCTCTTGTATACTCCCACAGGCTATAGGTTCATCATCAAGGTAACATGCCAAAATGCCCTTGATTACATACTCATTCTAACATGCTTGTTTTCTGACCAGGAATATTCTGAGAACCTTCTTTTGGGGGTGGCCAACATTTGTAACCCCGCAGGACACATACCAGTACCCTCATACGCCCAAGAGCTACGTGATTTACACTGCACGCTTAGAAAAGGGACCGGCTCCCAGGCACAAGATGATAATAGCACTTCTGGCATCCCAGATTCACGTATGAATGAGGCCAAAAAGGCAATGTCAGTCTTAATAGCCTCTGTTGTTTCACATTCTCAAAAAAACATGGAAATTCAGGTGATTTAACATGCCAATATCTATTCACTACTGGTTGTATGTTGTAGCTCTGCTCATAACATTCCCACAGATATCCTGTTAATAAAAAAATTGTAATCAGTAGAAGATCCTCATATTGAAAGTCTACTTGCTAACACAAGTTTATTTTTCTTTGAAATGATCTTTGTCTCTGGGAAATGCTGCAGGTAAAAGTGTCATTTGTGGAACTATGTTCCACATAAAATGTTATTTTTCTGATGTGTAAATATAAGTTTTGTGGGTTTTTATTTTTGGCAACAAACATTGAAATTTTCATTGTGATACTCTCTTTTCTGTTTTTTGGCAGATATTGATTTTGCGACTCGTAAGGTTGCAAAACACTTGAAACAAACAAAGGAGATTATTCAAGATGGAGATAATTTTAAAACAAAAACACTCAGTACTTTCAGAAACTATGAACTGAATTACACCGTGGGAGTGGAGTTTGAAGAGCATACCAAAGGACTGGATAATCGAGTGGTAAAGGTAAGAATTTGGTACCTGATAACTGTTTACACCACAATCAGTAGCAGGAGTGTGCAGTTCCAAAAATCAGCTGAATACATGAAAAAAACCTTCAATATTTTACAGACATCAGAGGATTCCTATAAAGCACAAATAATTTGCATCTTGAGACAGTTTTCTCTCCTGCTACAATCATTTATTGTAAATGCAAATCAGGATGGTTACTCAGATACGTGAGGACAGTCATTAATTAGATGTTTTTCTAGTAGGGAATTTTTCCAGCTTTTCTATGATACAACTTTATGTATTTAGAAAGTAGCAAAACTGTATTTTTAACTATGTATATTCCTTAATGAAACTGTAAATTCATTCTTTTTAATTTAGGACTTTCTCCATGTCAAAACAAATTTTCAGTTCTGAATGGCTAGGTTCACACTGTATTTTTAATCTGAGCCTGCTCAACCTCAGTTGGACAGTTTAAACAGTTGGACACTGTTAAAAACAAACCTGCACTCAGCTATTATCCTTAAGGGAGCTTTGGGAGGGGACAAGAAAAAACGTGAGCCAAAGCTACCAGTGACACAGGTGGCAGGCCTACTGGCAGCGGCAGACAGGCAAGGAGGCCCAGCGGTGCATGTTTTAATATCTTTGGGACTACAGGAGGAACCTGAGCTCAAAATTCCCCTAGGAAACTATGTTCAGACACCAGTGAGGTACATGGACAAGTAACATTTGGATCTAGGACCATATTGTATGTTAGCCCATGCCCTACGTCCTAAGACAGACAGAGTCAACTAATAAGTCTTCCCATGAGGCATTCGAACAAGACTGTCAGAGAAGTGAGGAAAAAAATACATACGAGCACTGACTAAATTCACATACTGAATTCAGCTTCATGTTTCTGTATCAATACTGCTTCTGTTGTACTCTCTTCTCACCCCTAATGTAATTAAGGAAGATTTTCAAAGGTAGAAAGGCCAGTAGATCTTAAATTTCCATTGATCATCCCCTTCAGAGTCTTGGTAATCTTGCCTCACCTGCCTGTCTTTGTCACCATTCACTGAATCTACTCTTATCAACTCTTCTGCCAATTACCACTGTTTTACTCTTCCACTCAGCTTTCAGCTCTCTTCCTCTTCTCCAGACATATGCTTTCTTTTCCATCAGTATCTTCTCAATAAATAAGGTTTCAGAACTTGTTGCCAAACTCTGAGAAGCTGAGATCAAAGCTCACTGTCAACAAGACCTGTTTTGCTTTGGCAATTGCCACAGGAAATTGGCAGCATAAAGGACATGTTTGAACTCACATCATCTTTTACTGGAGTGGCACAAATTTAACATTTTTTATTGTTTATTCACTATGAATCACTTTTCATTCTCAAACTAACTTTGTGCAGTGCAATTCCTGTGCCTTCTTCCAAATGATTTCTATTCACAGCACTGTAAGCCATCAAATAAGAAGACCCATTTTTTTACCAGTATCCTGAATATCCCTCTCTAAATTCTTCCTACCACTTTCTCCAGTGAGCACTGGGTGGGACATGTTCCTGTGACAGAGTTTATGTTTTAAAACATTGTTCCCCCATCTCTTCAGATCAGTTGAAGGCATTGATAAGGATCTAAGGACTCATTAGTTGCATTACTCCTTAAATCCACAGACTAATGCTCCTTGAGTGCTCTTCACCACCACCAAAGCCATTGCCTTTCTGTGCAAAATCATTTCACTTGCAGACTCTCCTCTTCATTATCAATTATTTGGAAGGAAGGAAGGAAAAACAGCTTGTACAATTATAACCCTACCTGGTTTAATCATTTTTGCCTAATATTATTTTCTAAAGAAAATATGTTATTGGTTTTTAAGAAGAGGAGAAAGAAAAAGGAAGCCTATCATGCCATTATTCTCTAGACCACTCTAAAAGAATTTTCCGGACATTTTAGTAAGAAAACAATGCCTCAAACACCTTGAAGTTAGATGAAGGTAATAAAACTGCTAGGGAACATTTAAATGTGAAGAGGACATGGATAATTTAAAGAGCATGTAGCTTAAAAATTCTGTAAATAAGAAAGAAGTTAACTGAAATGGAATGAGTTTTGTCTTGTTAATAGAAAGCTCCCTCATAGGAGAAATAAATCATCCAGTGCTGAACTAGAAAATGAATTAAGCTCCCAATACTCTTGGAGCTTTTTAATAACTGAACTTCCACAGACTATAACTGGCCTCTGATGAGTATTTGCCTATGATACATGGTTAAATGTTTCCCTAAAGTACAATGGTTCAAACCTAGAACAATTCAAACAAAGTTGCTTTGAATTTACTCTAGTGCATCTGAGAAGTTAGTGTGTAAAGAGAATTTTTCCTTAGAGATAGGGTGATCTTGCTCCTGGACAAGAATCAGCATAGCCAATACCCTGTTTATTGCTGATAGACTCTGAAACACACCAAATCATGAAGTGGTTGAGGATGGAAGGGACCTCTTGAGATCACCTAGTCCAACCCCTCTGCTCTAGCAGGGTCAGCTAGAGCACGTTGTCCAGCTTATGGTCATATTTCTCTAAAAGTCTTTTGTGAAAGTGCAACGATGCTATAAAATAAATACATTTATTGTATGAGATGATATTAACATATACTTCCTCTTGTCATTTTATGAAGAGCTAGAAAAGGTGTTAGCATGGCACTAGTGGGTATAAGCCCCCAGGTCTTCACTCATGAAACCTTAAAATATTTTTATTAATGTCTTTAAACAGCAAGAAAAGAAAAATACAATTTGCATACATTGCACAAGCATCTGTTAATTCACTCAGCAATTCACTAGTTAGTATGAACATTTTATATTCATGCATGTGAAGAAATACACGGAAATCACACCAAGGCACTATAAAAGCTTTCCTTCAAAAAGCTGTTGTCATCTTGAACGTGTTCGGGTTTTGGTTGAATGGCTAATTGGGGTTTTTTTAGGAGGAAGATGGACAATGGTAGGAAGCAATTGTAATTGAGTCTTCTCAGTTTGACTGAGCTTCTTTACATGTATTCATGAACTTCCTGTTAATAGATCTGAGTTAATTATCTGATTCATGCAGACACTAGTGACCTGGGATGGTGACAAACTGGTATGTGTTCAGCAAGGTGAAAAGAAAAACAGGGGCTGGAAGCATTGGATTGAAGGGGACCTACTGCATCTGGTAAGGGCTGCTATACAGGTACATAGCACATAACTGAGACTGCAACAAAGGACAATTCTTCCATTTCCAAGGTTTTGTTACTTGTTCTAGTTAGAATGGCCTTTATTTAGACAGCTCTGATCTCTGAACTCTAAGAAAATCCCCCTCCTGCTACAACTTAGGAATGTTCAGTTTCTTTCTACCTGCTCCCAATTAAGTCATAATCCTGCAGTGGTTTTTTTTGCTCCAGTTCACTGCCCTCCAGCTATTAACCCTTCTTGTTACATTGCACCTCTAACATGATCTCATTCTCATATAATCAGTAGTAGAAAACAAACAAACAAACAAACAAACAAAACATATGGGAAAGATTGCAAGATAAATATTAATTTTTCTTCTGAAAGAAGCACTACAAAATTTTAGCATACTATGCTGTAATACAGATCAGAAACCTCTGGATACTCAAGAGAATCCTGCAAACAACCTACACTGCAATTATTTTGTGCTAGTACAATAAAAAAGATAAAACACTCATACATCTGAGTTAGTAACCTGGAACCCAACGGTAAATGAGGTGAGTCCAAGAGAGACCAGAAGAGCCTGTGCAGGAAATAAGCAGTCAGTGAAGTCCGTAAAGATTTCAAAATAATAGATACATAATGATGATTCCAGACTTTCTTGGGAGATCAATAAAGAAATGAGCATGATAATGTTGGATGGTGCAGTAGGTGGGTGCAGAAAGATTATGGAGGAGAGCTCATTGTTTCTAACACATGATTTGCATCTAGGTATCTACTCCTTCACCAGTTTACCCTACAGATAGTTGGCATGGCCAGCCACATTGCCTCAAGACTGTGTGTCCAAAAGGTCAAAGCAATGAGTTAAAAACCAGTATCTGCCACCTAACTAAAAGCCAGCTGTCCAGCACACTTTTTCAAATCTGTTTTAAAACATATTCAAAACCTGACATAAAAGAAGTTCAACATGCTGGCACCACGATTCAGACTAAGATTAGTGGAAACAGAGAGACCAGGTAGATTCTGACAACAATCTTCAGAAATTCTATTGCTGGTTTGGCCAATTGCTGGCCAAAAAGCCAGCCTCAGCTCACCTCCAAGTCTGATTTGGCACAGGAATGCTGGCTAATCAGAAGACTAACCAAACTGACTGCATTGCAATGTGCAGCTATGCCAAACCTGACGTAAAAGAAGTTCGACATGCTGGCACCACGATTCAAACTAAATTAGTGGAAACAGAGAAACCAAGTAGATTCTGACAACAATCTTCAGAAATTCTATTGCTGGTTTGGCCAATTGCTGGCCAAAAAGCCAGCCTCAGCTCACCTCCAAGTCTGATTTGGCACAGGAATGCTGCTAATCAGAAGACTAACCAAACTGACTGCATTGCAATGTGCAGCTATGCCAGTCTTTAAGAGGTCAGCTGCAACACTGGGCAAAAATGGTGTATTGTTCTGGCCCCAGAAAAATGGCTGGGTGCATCTCTGAAAAAAGTGTCCTCGTCTTTTTAAAGTATCCTCCATTCTTTTCATTTCCTTATTTCATTGCTTCTCATGAATTATGAGGTAACATGTGAATTATAAACTATTACAGTATATTGTTTTAGTAACAGAGCATGAAAAAGCCTTGCATTAAAGAGCAATTTTTGTGGCTTTTTCATGTTTATTCTTCTTCGAGCTCAATTCAAGTGTCAAAATCTAATTACTGCAACCTGTGGTGCATTC